GCCACAGAATTAAACTGATCAGTTTTGACCACAGACTTTTAGGCATCAGCAAAAGAGAATGCAAACCTCTACCAGGCTGTGCTCTTGGGTTAGCTGGTGAAGCCAAGAACAGCAGAGGCACAGAGATTATCACATTCAGAAAACACCCTGTCATTTTATATTTGCTTTGGATTGGGAATTTTGTGTACCAGAACTAGGATTTATTTTTCTATGATGCTTTGATCTTGTAAAAACTGAAGATATTAAATCTCTCCACTATGAAGGGTGATTGGCTCTTCTAAACCCAGACTATCAGCAATTCATACTTCGTTCTTTCCTAATAAAACACTGCAAAGCTACATTTGCTAATGTGTACAGAACACTTCACTATTCTTATCCAAATGCATACTTAAATTTGACAGTTATCTTAAAAGATGGCAAAAGAAAACATTAGTGATGGCAGCCAATCTGAAGATTGTATTTGCAGCAGCATAACAAGCTTCTTTTTGTCTGACCAACATATCACAGGCTTGACCTAGAGGTACAATATTTAGATTCATGTGAGCTGTTCTAACTTTAATCAGGAAAAATTATTCACTCCTGTCACTTAGTATAACTCTTGCTTTATACCAAATTGCCACAGTATTCCTTGTGATCCAGTTTCAAATTGATAATTTATTTTATTTTTAGTTTATTTTTAATATATCATATACTGAATTCTAAGCAGTGCAGAATCTAGGACTAAGCAGAAGGCACTTACATTTCCAATAGCCAAAAGAGCTTTGTCAAAGAAGAGTATCATTCCAAAGAAAAGGAAAAACACTCCAAAGCCTGTTAGTCCCATTCCAATCTCTGAAAAAGAAACAAATTTAGGTATGTAACAAAACATAGTACCAGGAAAAACTCACACATAAAGACCGAAAAACTTAGAACAGCCAATCTACAGCCATTTTAAATTTATAAAAAAAGGTCAGCCTATTTTATGACCACTTAAAATCTCTCCTGAATGTACAAATATAGTATGTCTTGTAGACACCAATTATTTAAATAGACGAAGATCTTTGAAAGCTGCTTATCAAAAAAAGTACGTATTTGGAACTATATAGTGAAACTGAATGCAACAACAACAAAAAAAAGAATCATGCATATATATAAAGACCTCTCTTTTGATTTACTGCTAGTATGGAGAAAAGGACTTTTTTGTGAACAGGTAATGAAACTTTGTTTACTATTTGCAACTCTTATCCCATAACATTTACCATAGTAACACAAGCACACTAGGTCTTTCCATCCTCCTGATGTCTTACATTCCTTACATTGTCCTCCTAGGTCTTACATTCCACCTTCCATAATCTTGCATAGCAGCCCCACTTCCCACAATTTCTGGACTGAACACAACTCAGACTAATGCTATAGGCTCCTTCCAAGTTACACATGTGTTGATAGCTATTAAACACTAGCTTGGGTCTCCAGCTAGTTGCCAGTGTCCTCAGGCTAGAAATGTCAAGCTATGATTAAAGCTACCATTTGACAATAGCCTCCAAGCTATCCTGAAGACCATGGTTAAAAATACATCCCACTTTCAAAATTAAACCTCTAAGGCCTTCCTTTGACTCTCACACAGACTGATTGGGAGAGAAATAACAGGAACAGCAGCAACATGGCTGCAAAAATCTTTGCATTTATCTGTGCACTCGCCCTTAACATTATTGCTATCCCTGTGACCAGAGAACTTAGAAAGCTACAGGATACATAAAACCAGCTAGCAAAACCAGCCCTAATACCATAGACAGGCTGGCAGCCCAGTTTGTGTCTCTGGGTATATATATATTTTGAAGTTCCCAACAGTTTTGTAAAGCCTGAAACACAAAAACAAAAAACCCACCCACTAACACAGTGGTAATTGCTACTGTTAGCCAGATCTACCTAAATGTATTTTAGTTGCACTTTTGACTGCAATGTAGAGCTAGTTGATCATTGTTGCTTGAAGAGTTCAGGAGCAAAGACAGAGTGATATTCCTATTTCAGAACCTCCATTTAGTTACGGAAAAAAAATTTCAAAACAGCTGAAAGAGATTTGTTAGAGCAATATTCAACTTCCCGAACTTCTTGTAAGCAAGCTGAAGATCACATGGTGTTAAATCTGTAGTTCTACCCTGTATTGCCTGCCCCTTTAAGCTTTTGCTATGAGGGTTTGAAACACCCAGAATTAAAACTAGTAAGTAACCTCCTACAACTTTTTTACTCCAGACATTCTCAATACTTGTTTACAAGGAAAAATTGAATAAAAATAGTATTTTCAATAAATCTGCTGACTGAAGGCAATATAACAATTGCAATCTGGCCTTTTCTCTAATAATCTTTACTTTAGAAGAGCAGAAACAATTTGTATTCTGGCAGGAAAACACTTGGAGACAGGACTCCAGAGAAATTACCAACTGCCAACAAGATAAATATGCAGTCATGGGAAGCGAGTATTCACTCCTCCCTGCAAACACAGCACAAAGTAAGGATCTAGCAAGAAGGCAGAGGCCAACTCCCAACAGCTATGCAATTACTACTCTGACACTGCTGTACTCACTTCAAATATGTTTGTAAGCACCTACTCCTACAGCAAGTTCAGATTCATTTCAGAAGGCAAAGACATTCTCTGGTTAGTGGAGGGAAAAGAAAAAAAAACAAAACCAAAAACAAACCACAAGGACCATTCTCATTGTCCCAAAATTACTGCTAAAAGATGAGTATTCCAGGGCTACTATTCTCTGCTGCCAATATCTCAGAAGAATGTATTACTGACGTGATTCATATCAGAATTTGGACATATATTTGACTAGCATTCTTAGAATAAAAAAACCCCAACACACCGACATTTGGTACTTAATCTTTGCAACAATAACTAGGAATTTTTTTATAGATGGCATGAACTATTTTTAAATGCTTTCTCCTGCACCAGAAGACCCTTCCCATATCATACAAACACAACATTTTCAACACCTAGAAATGCAGAAACACATACCAGCCATGTGACATTTACTCTGGATTTTTTAAAAAATTATGATGTACTGAGATAAGGGAGCTATGCTTTCTCAATGTTCTGCAGAAATCCTGTAAGCTATGCAAGAGTACTGGAGTACTGTATCAAAAGAGTTTAGTAAATATTAAGACAAAATTAAGATACATTGCTTGTGAAAGTTCAGGGAAGACAATGCACATTCTCTATCTTTTGTATAGAAAATAAGAATGGAATCATGCACTAAAGGCTTGCAGAACATGAAAATTAATGCAGTTTATAGTTTATTAAGTTTGAATTTTTAAATTATTTTGCTAGCAGTATTTTTTAGTATTGAAAAAATAATTTGCTTGGAAAAAAATAAGTGCAGTCTTTTGCAATTACTGGTGATTTATAACACTATTCAGTGAAGCATTCCAAAAAATGTTCTAGACTACAGCTGCAAATTTAACTTTCCAAACATCAACTAATGCAGTGGTCCTCTCCAGGTATTTATCATGCTACTCTACTAGTGACTCTATGATGAACTCTGTATTTTTCCAGAAAGCAGTGATTTTAAAAATACCTGACTAAATATCTTCAGAATTTCAGAAAAACTGTGAAAAAGATAAAACCCCCTGAACTCCACAGTATTTCACTTACTATTCTTAGCTCTGAAAGTTAAAACTAACAGAGTCAGCACTGGAGTTAGCTGAAGGTCCCAAATGAGAAACTAAGAAAAGGAAAAGCAGCAAATAGATCTCCTCTTTCTGAAAAGATTTTACTTTCTTTCCCAATTAATACTCTGGACAGGAGGATCAGAGAATGGGAAAAAGCAAAGCTCACAAGGGTTTAATCAATAAAAAAAAAAATACTCCAAGGGTTAGCACCCATCCCCATAACACAGCACAGTGCCTGAATTTATCAAGACATCACTGACCTTAACTTAAGCCTGCTTTTCTGCCTGTCTTCATCCCTGGCCTTGACTGGCTCTCCAATATCTCCTTCTCCAGAATCCTGCTATCAAGTTAAACTTAGTTCTTTTAACTTAGTTTTCTACATCTTTCACACTTGTTTATAACTGGCACTATGGTACCCATCAAGCAGACTCATTTTCTTTCACGGCAACCATGCCAGAAACATATCATATGCAAGGTGTTAATTCAAATCAAAGACCTAACATTCTCCTTTACCTCACAGTTTAAACTCTTATGAACCCCTTTAATTTGATTTCTTTGTAATTTCCCTTTCAGCATCTGTATTTCCAAATATTTCCATTCAGTGAAAAGAAAACTACAGTTACATACAAGTACTTCTTTTTCCTCTCCAGATTGAGTGTCTGGTCCTCACCTTAAAACCCCCTCAGTGTCACCTGCAAACATGTAGTACAGTAGCAGTAAGTTAAAAGAAACACAGCAAAGCTATGTAATTAAGTGATTCCAAACCACTAGCGTCTACATGGAGGCATACTAGAAGACGTTAGCTAATTGTGACTTTTGTTTACCGTTCAGCTTTCATTCATTCTCGTCATCGCCACGCCACAGCAGACCTGCCAGCACGGAGGAGTTCGCAGCCCGAGACAAACGCAGGTAGCCACAGCGGCGCTGGTGACTGTACCATTACACGGAAGCGGGCTTCGGCGCTACCGAGCGCTCCTCCGTAGCCCCGCACACCAGCTCGGTTTCCGGCCCACCTGGCAGCTCACGGTACCCACCGCCAGACCCGAGGCCAGGACCAGTTCTAACAGCCCTCACGGAGTGGCCACGCCGACGGGCGCGGCCAAGTGAGCTCCGCCTGCGCCCTCCCGTTCCCACCCCGCGGCTGGGTTCCAGCCGGTGTCTGCTGCGGGCGGCAAACGGACTCACCGACGGCTCCCCCTGACCCACAACAGCCGAACTACTCTTCGGCGACTCCCACCCCAGCGCTGGGAGCCTCCCCTCCGCGCCGCACCTGTCTCTTATACACATAGAT